CTGCTGTTGTCACAGAATTTGATGACGTTGTTCTGGTTGCTATGGTGCTGAGTGCCCATAATGAGGCTGAAGAGCGTCTCCTTCTGCTCTTCTCCATCAATGATCATCCGCCCTCGGAAGAACCAATGGCGGCTGTGCTCACTGCAGGACAAACAGGGCATGAAGGCGTCATTGTTCATGCTATTGCAGATAAAAGACACCCTTTCCTTTGGGGTTTATTCTTTGGAGACCACACACACCTGTTGGACTGAGCCAGATCAAAGCATTCTACACTGGTGGGATTCCTTTTCACTCTCTGGAAGAGTGCAGTGTAGTAGTCCAGATCCCAAGAGTCAAACGCCAACCCTGTTCATACACGCAGCGAGACAAACAAAAAGACAGCAACCAGATAAATATGAAATGAAGAAAAAGATGATCAGAAACAAATACAAAACCAAAAGAAAACCTGCTAAACTGAACCTTTGCTAAGCATCCCTTGGTTACTGTTGCTAACTCAGGCAAGCTTTACAGAACGTCCTATAGGACCATAATCACAAGTCATAACATTAGTGTAAGTGAACAAAACTGCTCCTATTCACTTTTGTTCTATGAACGCTTACTATTGAAGTTAATAACATAAAAAAAAAAAAACTTTAAAAACACCATGGGTAACATTTATCACTATTATGAGTGACTATTATAAGTTCTAAAACATTTTTGGGTAATATCAGTAAAATTGGATTTGAACAGACAGATGGTTGGTAAACTTACACTATTGTTCAAAAGTTTAGGGTTGGTTAGAGTTTTCAAAGTTTTATGAAACAAGTCTCTTATGTTCACCAAGGCTGCATTTATCTGATCAACAATACATTAAAAACAGTAATATTGTGAAATATTATTACAATTTAAGTCTTCAGTGTCACATGATCCTTCCGAAATCATTCTAATATACTGATTTGCTGCTCAACAAATTCTTATTAATGTATACATTTCTTATTATTGTTGAAAACAGTTGTGCTGCCTCATATTTTTGTGGAAAGCGTGATACATTTTTAATAAAGATAAATAAAGACTCAAATAACAGTGTGACCGTTAAAAAAATCTATTTGACCTGATTGTTTTATTTCTAACCCAGTAGGCCTTCACTAATCTCTGATACAGACAGAGTGAGCTTTGTTGTAATCAACCGGCTCACTTTGTCTCTCATACAGTCATACATTCTTTCCCTTCACACACCTCGTGATGTAATCAATTAGGCTCCCCTTATCTTGTGACATCTACTCTTCCTCTAATCATGTTAAGTGTCATGTGACCTTAAAATACTGGATGATTATGTACAGAAGAAAGAGTTGCTGATCTCATCACTGAGTACTGACAACACACACACTTTTTAGGCATTTGATTGAATCCCTATTCAAATACTCAGTATCTTTACTCTATATGCATTATTTTCATTTTCATGTAATGATACCAGTTAGTTTTATATCCTTGCACTTTTACTATAATGATGGAATGGTAAGTAGATGGCATTAAATGGTTATATTAGTAATTAACTGATATGGGAATTTCAATTTCCCATATTTTTCTCTTCTGTTAACTGGCCAATTAGATGATGCTGATTAGCGGATACTAATGTCATAAAGGCCAAGTATAGGCTGATTAATCTGCCTCTCACTAGGTAATACCATGGTACTCTAAGCTACTTCAAAGAATATACAGTATATCAAAAAACGAACAAAAAAAACAAGGATATTATCATTATCAAGTTACTTTTATATTAGTGGAAATGAGGTACAGACTCCAAACACATCTCTTACCAAGTTCATCATTGGCCTTCTCCAAGGCAGCACGACCTTTTCCCAGAATGTCCACCTCAAACACTTCTTGTGGCTGAATATCAACGGCGAATGATGTGATTGGCTGGGGGTAAACACATTCGGTCATACTGTCATACAAGCAGCAAATCAGTCTCTCCATCTCTCCGCCCTTCATTACTCCAGTATGTCCTTCCTGGGGCTAGATGGGGATGAGAAAAGAGAGCTTTTAATCAAAACGGGTGAAAAGAACTCACTGAAACGAAAAGCTATTTAAAGCTATTCTCCTGACCTTGATGAGATGCCTGCGGGAGAGCTCCACTCTCGTCACCTCGTTCAGCCCCGCACTTCGGCAGATGGACACGGCATTGGTGGACCAAGCAGTGGAAAAGTTCAACCTACAACGGTTAAGATATAATTGAAAGATGTGATATAAGTTGTATCAAAGTTACCAATGCCATACCATCAAGATGAAACAGTGGCAGAGGTTACCTGGGTCCAATCTCCACCAGTCGTGCCCCATCCGCTGGTTTTAGAGTGGGTTCCTCTGACAGACAGACAGAATAGGGGGGACTAAACAACCAGCGCAACACACCTTTCTGCTCCATGTTTAAAGAGTCAGAGCCTGAGAGAGAAAAAGATGCAGATGAAGAGAAGACAAATATGTAGAGAAAACTTAAGCTAAATTGTGCTGGATAATTTAGCTGCTTTATAGCTGAATCGAATTTGTTTAATAATTTATGAACTCTGCAACATTGGCATGTTATTGAACTGAATTGTATCAACATTGAACAGACTTGAGCTGAATAAAGACACTATTGGCTTCTGTAGAGCTGTTCATAGCTGGATTTAGTTTGCTTCATAAAAATGAGGTAACACTATACAATAAGGTCCAATTAGTTAACATTAATTAATGCATTAACTATCATCAACTAACAATTTGCAAGACATTTGTTACAGTATTTATTAATCTTTGTTAACTTGTTCGTTGTTAGCTCAGGTTAGCTCATGTCCATTAAATAATATGAACAGGTTTTTTTATTGAATAATGTATTATTAAATGTTGAAATTAACATAAACTAAGAGTAAAACATGCTATTTAAAAGTATTTTTCATTGTTAGTTGATGTTAACTAATATAGTTAAATGATGTTAAAAAATGGAATCTTATTGTAAAGTGTTACCACTAATGAACTTTGCAACACTGACACGGTCATTGAACTAAATTGAACTGAATAATGACCCTTGTCTTTTTAGAGCTGCTTTACAGCTGAAATTGTATTTGCTTCATAACTAAAGAACAACAATCTGTATTGTATTGGTATAAATAATTGCAAATTTACATGACAAAGAGCCACAAACTCATCACCATTTTATACTGTATTCTCTCACCGTCCAGCTCTACATTGTAGCAAAGCTCTGTTGTTATAGTAACATCAGGATGCAGTTGTGCGATCCTTCTTAGGACCCGGCCCTCCCTGGTCTCCTCTCTCCTGTAGAAGCGCACGACTGGCATGATCCTGACAGAAAGAGAGAGAGAGAGAGAGAGAGAGAGAGAGAGAGAGAGAGAGAGAGAGAGAGAGAGAGAGAGAGAGAGAGAGAGAGAGAGAGCATCCATAAGAATGTGCTTCAAACTATTTTCACTCTGCATACTGGGGGACACTGGCACATTAGGGAAGCATTTCCTGATCTACCTTTAACTTAATTTATCAGCAATTCAAAAAAATAAAAAATAAAAATCTCTGCTCAGTCAGAAATCAAAAGATCAGAAAAAGCTTTATTGCCAAGAGTGCTTCCACAAAAGGATTTTTTTCTTGGTAATGAAGCTTACAGTGCACACATATAAAGACAACAACAAGACACATAATAACAAAATTAAAGAATAAAAATATGAAAAAGTGTAAAGATGCAGGTTAAGTTAGAATATACATTTACTGTTATGAACATATTATGGATAATATGAACAAATAAGAGTGCATTTATTGCACATTACTTATGAAAAAAGTTTTAGTTTTAGACTGCTAGTAATGTAGTAATGATCTTTTATGTGGAATGAGTATTAAGGGGTGAAGTCAGGGGTCAAACAGATCATTTGGGGGCTGCATCATTCACAATGCAGGCAATTCCAACCTAGAGTAGAGGAGTCACCTTAAAAGAAAAGTGCTTTACATGTTAATGGGTTAGATTTAAAAAGGCAACTTAAGTACTGACTCAACAGTGAGACAGAGTTGTTGTGACATACTAACAGCCTGGTAATTATTTACAAACTTTTCGGTGCATATATTATATCTCACAGCCAGATAAAATAAGTAACGTTATTGTAATTGTAACTTAGCAAAACAATGTGTTATTGTTATTACTTTTCTGCTTCAAAATGGTGAACAAGTATCTTACTTTTCGGTTGCTCAAGAAATCCGCTTGTAGACTCGTCAATGTTATTGACTCGTGATGATTCTGATGTTGACCACTGCAGAAGCACAGCACACAGACCCACGTGTGGTTAAACCATGGGTTAAACACGAACCTTCCGCCACAACGATGCGCATGCGCATGCGCATTTCCGCATGGGTTTGATCCATTTTTTACAGTCTATGGTTTGATCGCATATGGTTTGATCGGGTTATATATTTTTTGTTTTACAGTCTACGGGTTATACCCATAGAAATAGTACGGACAGTATGTCATCTGAATGGAAACAATAAATGAGCATATTAATAAATGAGCACTAAAACCCATGAAAAAATATATTTATAAAATACGGGATAATAACTTGTCATTTATAGGGGTGGGAAATTGAGCACAAACACTTCACTGACAGTGTTTTCGTTTTAGTATACAAGTACACTACCCTAACATTTGATTATTCTTTATTGGGGCATATTAAAATTGTTCGTTGTGGGACAATCGTAATTTTTTATTATATTATTTAGATTCACACAGTGTTATTAGTGTGTATAAATTAGTTATATTTATTTAATTAATGTTTAAATCGCCATAAAATAATTAATTTACTGTATTCGGAACTGCATACTCTACGTACTACTTTTATCTTAAATTTCTATTGCATAAATAGTCAGAGTAAAAAACTAAAATAGTAACAGTAGTATGCTAGTATGCGGTTCCGAATTCAGTAATACTGTATAATAATTTTTCAGTTTTCATATCATTAGCCAGTCAGAGTAATCGTTGTTGATATTAGACAGCCAATCAGAATGCTTCTTGTACACACTCCTCTGACTGTCAGAGGTCGAACATGGCGGCGTGCACAAGGAGGGCGAGTGAAATGATGGGCTTGCTACGAATTTTAAGAAATTTAACTCATAACGAACGTATGTTACTATGTTTTATATTCCCAATTACCAAAGTCAATGTTAGATGAGTAAGTTAATAACAGAAGAGAGTACTAGTGAGACGATCTGATCATTAAAACCGTTACCTGCTCAAGTAAATAAATCTGCAGTAGTTTATAAGAGTTTACAAAACTATTTAATTAATGGAATAGTTAGCTATTTCTGACACCTAAAATTATTAGTACATATACACGATACATCTTTTTATTTCTAGGACTTTTGTCGACGTCTGTGATGAGGCATGCTGCGGCGTCTGATGGACCTCCAAAATTCACCCCTCCGACCAAACCTGTTATCATAGACAAAACACTGAAAGAAGCGTCTTTGCGACGGTATGTTCATTGTTGTTGAATAAGTGCATATGATTATGTTTTGATTTACGGGATTTCAATATTAGGTGGGCTCAGCCCCCAATGTTTTAAAATATATATATTTAAAAAATATATATTTATACTAGAGTTGGCATGAACAATACATTAGGTTATACACCTATCAAGTCATTCCCTGAATACTGAATTAATTTCTAACCATTTTAATTAACCAGCTAATATTAACTAAGTATAAAGACACACTTTATAGTACTGTAATTGTCTAGATTGTCAAGAAAAAAAATTAAGAGCTAAACCTGTATATTAAACTATTTTTATTTTAGGGACACTTTTGGGTACATTAAAACAGAACCCATCTCTATATTTCAAATGCATACAATGTATAGACAGGATTTTGATGGAAGATGAAAAATTTATGCTGCAAATTGGACATGTCAGAAAAGTCGCAGGATCAGGTTATTTTATGTTTAAGATAACACAAACAAAATCTCACATCATTAGCTGTAACATGTAGGCTGCAAGCTTATGAACAGTGTATGAAAACTTAATACTGGCTTTTGGGTGATAGATAAATAAATATGGAAAAAAAATCGATTCGTGGCCTTTAAGAATCTATTTTGAATTGACCACATTTTAAAAAACGATTAATCTAAAAATTGATTGTTTTGCCCAGCCCTTGTGGATTACATGGATAACCTGCCATGCTTTAGTGGATAATATTTTTCACCTGGTGCAAACAAACACACTTTTAACATTAAAATGACCAGTAGAAATGTGACCAGTAGATGGCACCAGAGGACCACTCATTTGCCATTTCTACACCCTTTTACAGTTCTTTTCAAGTGTTTTGCTTTTGGATTTATTATAAAATGAATATTATAACACATTTTAGCAATTTTATTGCACTGAGCTATGAAACATAGCAAGAGTAGGAAAAGTCACAAAGTCTCATGCCATTTAGATGAATGGAATTTTATAAAATAAATAAGCCCAGATTTTATAGTGGATGGGAAAATGTCTTGAATTGCTCCCACATCATATTATGTACATTGCATTTATGAGAAAGAACTACACATCTAGATATCAGATATCATTTACTACACATCTAGATATCATAAAAATCGATCAATAAATGTACACACATTGGGACTCATTCATGAAACACAAGCAGAACGAATTTTTTTGTAAATCGTGTGTAAAGTGGTTCTGGCGTAAATTTTCGGATTCATTAAAATGTTCGTATTTTCCAAATGTTAGTTGGTACGAAAAAAATCTACACCTGCTCCCAGCCACGCGTAAATAGTGAGTTTAACATCCGAACGTTTTGCTCATTAATAACTAAGGCTGCATTTTAATTCACCTTAATCGGGTACATATTTACACAGCATTTTGAAAAAATATTATGTATAGTAATTGCATACAGTTTGTCTTTTTACTTCTGGGACTGTTTGATTAACAGATGAAACTCCATTGACTGCATCTGTAATATGCTGCCAAGCTTGCTTTTTTTAGGACCTGATACACCACTATGTAGCCTACGCTTGAAAATAAAATGTGGTGTTTTGAATGAAATTCTGATAATAAAACTTCGATTTCTGCATCTGAGAAATTTTTCTTTTTCATTCGCTTTTGAGAAGACATGTTGAAATCCTTTACATCCTTTATGGTAATTGAGAATGAGCGTGCACGCGCGTCCCATTTAAGACTGATTGGAATTCATTAACACACACACACATTTCACTATCACATCTGACATTTACGAAGTATTTGTGAATCAGGAGATGAGTTTTCGGGAAGGTCTCTTTACGCGCAAATCACTCTCATATTTACTCGTATATTTATGAATGTTTCATGAATGAGACCCATTGTCCTCTGCCTTTGATGCTGCACTGCTATGGATTGAAGAACACGCTGAATAACGCAGACTAAAATATGGGGATGAGCCGAAGCCTGTCTCTGGTTTCATATTATTATGAAGTTGTTAGATAATTTCTCCAATGATGCACCATACTACAGCAGGTTAAGCAGTGAGTTGTCGTTCTTTGGGAAATGCACCCCCTGATTGTTAGCAACATGTTTCATGATTCAATTGCTTTACATGTTAAATGTCTGTAGGTTTTTGAGTCCAGAGTTCATCCCTCCTCGTCAGCGCACAAACCCTGTGAAGTTTTCCGTAGAACGGAAAGACATGGTACAGAGACGGAAAGTTCTCAACATTCCAGAGTTTTATGTTGGTAAGAAAGGTTACGTTGATGTGTGCTTGATATAATCTACAGATGAAAAAACATCCTTTAAATATTCTCTTTACCCTTTCATGTAGGCAGCATTTTAGCAGTGACCATGTCTGATCCTCACGCAAGCGGGAACCTGAATCGCTTCGTTGGAATCTGCACTCAGCGCTCTGGAAAAGGATTGGGTGCTACTTTCATACTTAGGAATGTGGTCGAGGGCCAGGGTAAAAAAACAAAAACCTGTAACAATTCATTTTACCACCCAACCACTGAACCTGTCATACTCTGTTTTAGTTTTGCTTCATTATCTGTTCTGTTGGGCTGCAAGAACTAATATGTTTAATAGATAATAAAGTTTGATTAATTAGTCAGAAAATATACACCTGTCACTGTATTTTACATAATTAAATAAAATACATTTCTGTGGACAAAACGCATCTGAAAAATATCAGTGGACACAGATTGAGGTGCTACAGGACACACAACCTATAGTTTAACACGGCTTGACAGATGCATGTGCTGTTTAAAGCATTAATACATGTTTTCCCCAGCACATAACTTTTTTTACGGGTGTAACTTAAATTTTGCGGATATATTCTTATCTATAAATGTTTGAAAGTCACACAAGTATTTACATTTTGCATAAAGGCTGGTCCTGGCAGAAAGCGAGACTTTAAACAGAACGAACGCCGGTGCACACATGCAGCTCAAACAGACAGACTGCAGTAGAATAGGAGCGCAATAATTCTGACTTTGCTATGTTAAATAAGCCTTTTTTGGACATTAAAAATGTTTTAAATGCTACATTTAACACAAGTAGTTGTATTTTTATGAGAGCAGTAAATGTAAAACGATTGTTGTAAAGGTGTATAAATGTAATATAATTACGATATCCAGAATGTGATTAGTCTGTGCTTTTGTTTTGCTTTATTGTGCTTTAAGTTTGTATTGTAATGTTTATATTTTAACACCCTTTTTTGCACATAATATATAGCATTTAGCCTGCATATAATAGTTCTTCAGTTTGCTTGCACACTGTTTGGAGGACAACAGGGGCTGGATGTAAAAAAAAAAAAAAAACTAAGACAATATAGCTTTTTAATCAGATTAGTCAAATAATCAAAGATATAATCAACAGATTAATCGATTATCAAAAGAAGTGTTGGTTGCAGCCCTGCTATTCTGATTTGTACTGGTTTCATTTTAATCGTGGAATCAAATTCTTTTTGACTTCTGTTGCCATTTTGTCATGAATTTATTAGTAATAGGTTTTTATTTTCTGTAGGTGTGGAGATATGCTATGAGTTGTACAGTCCACGTATGCGTAAGATTGAAGTGTTGAAGCTGGAGAAGAGACTGGATGACAATCTCATGTACTTGAGAGACGCTCTATCTGAGTACAGCACCTTTGACTTCAACATGCAACCTGTCCATTATGAGCTTACAGGAGATGTCCCAGTCAATCAGGTAAGACATTCCAGTAAAAGATATTCTTTTACCTGTAACATTCTGTAATGTTAAATTGGACACCTGCTGTGTTTAACCACCAAATTTAGAAGGTTTTACATCTGTTTCTCTTTCTCTTTTAGTTGAAAGTAAAAATGAAGCCAAAGCCTTGGTCTAAACGCTGGGAGCGTCCCAAGTTTAACATTCAGGGAATCCGCTTTGACCTATGTTTGACCCCAGAGATGATGGAGCATGCTCAGAAGTGGAGAGAACCGTGGAGAGAGTACGATATGCTGAAGGAGTATGACACATCCAGCCTAGAGAAGCAGATCTTCCAGGAGGTAGAGGAAAATCTCAGCAAATAAGCAGTGCATAGAGACAACCTCCAGCCTGGACAGAGATAATCTTTGTGATGGGAAATAAGGCTGAGGTGACAACTTAAGATGCTGAAAGGACTGGTTCTGGGGTGCCCCCCCAAAATCATTTCTGGAAATACATTTAGATGATTTGGGGAGAAAAAAACATTGGAACTTTTCATTTGTCTGTTTTAATGGAAACAATTTCTTTGCTATTTATCTTTTGTGCCAGCAGTCAGTGTGTGCGTGTGCTAATGCAGTTTTGTATGCAGTGATCCTGCTGCCTCTGACCAATAGAGGACAGCAGAGAACACTCAAATAAATGTAAATTGATATCTGAATAGTAAATAAAAAAAATCCTAAAAGATTATATCCTAATTCCATACTTAAATTAATGACATTGTGCAGAGTTGTTTCATGTAGTCTAATTTTGTATTTGCTCATAGTCTGAAAATAAGTTATAATAAATTATACGTTAAAATGTTTGGGGTCAGTAAGATTGCTTAAAAAAACACTTATTTAGCATGGATGCATTAAACTGATCCGTTAATTTTAAAGTAAAGACCTTTACAAAGTTACAAAAGTTTTCTATTTCAAACAAATTCTGTTCTTTTGACCTTTCTATTCATTAAATAATGCAGAAAAAAGAAGAAAGGTTTCTTGAGCACCAAATAATGAATTCTCAAGGAGCGTGCGGCGGCTGAAAATTCAGGTTTGCCATCACAGGATTCAGATTCATATTCATATTTATTATTATTTTTTTTTTAAATAGATAAAGGCAGCCTTAAAGCATAAGAGACTTCTTTCAAAAACATTTAAAATTCTCTCCTTCCCCAAGCTTTTATGTATAACAAAAGAAAAGATAGGGGCCGTTTTAAAAACCGCAAACTGGTAATTCGTTCCTACATGGGATTCACCTAATGTTTATTGAGAGACTGAGACTTAAATTAGATTATATAAGTACAGCTGCCTGTTAATATGACCCAGTTATTTATATTAGAGTCTATGTAAGAGGAATTATACTCGTTTATTCTATATGGTTTTGAACATTTTTCTTATTACACAGCCTAACTAAAACCAAGTCCGGGAGACGAGCAGACTAATATAGGCTGGCTGGGTTAGTATGTTTTTCAGCTAGGCGTTTTAATGTAAAAGTCAGTCTTTGAAACACCACCTCAATGAACGTCTCGCAACTGTCCTCATCCAACAAAGGTGGAGAGATTTTCATATTAGTGACTTCTAATGTCCAGGAGTGGTATTTCAATTCAAGCTCTCTGCTAGAATATGCGTAATCCACATCGTGAACTTGTCCCATTATTTTAGAGACATGGTATTTTGTCCGAGCTCATCCGGAGCCGCGCGCGCTAATCCTCGCGCACATCTGTGCAAGATGTAGAGCGAGCGCGCGAAGCTCCGCCCATCCTGCTGTTGTGAGTGACGTCAGCCCTATCACTTGTGGATAGTGAACCGACGCCGCAGTCAGTCAGCGATCTGCAGTGAGCAGGTACAGCCGATCCTTCACCTGGATACCAAAACCACACATCGCCCGTTATCCAAGGAGATTTCCGGTTACCCTGGCGCTGTTTTTATGAAATCAAAATAACACTGTCTTTCTCTTTCGCGATATGCACGGTAAGCATTTATATTTTGAGGTTCCATGTAGGTTACTCTATTGTGATGCTTGCAATAAGGTCGTCGTCTATCGTTAATGTTTAGAAATAGCTTTTCAATATATTTTATGATTAATGAGCAAAATTTTAAAGCTTAATCATTTTATGTTTGAGGAAAAAGCGCAGTTTCAGAACAAAAGCCCGTAACGTGTTGGAGAAAGAGCGGAATCGCTGCATTGATTTCAATCACATAACGGACAAACTTGTTGTGCAGGTTGTGAACTTGTACAGCAACCCGATCCGTTTTAAGCTGCATAATAATCCGAAACATAAGAACTGGATCATTGTAAGTGTTTCCCAGCGGGCCGCTGAAAGTGTTGTCAGAGATGCAACACACCTGTCCCACTAGTGCACCTGCCTCCAGGATACCTGTGTACATCTACAGTGACCCTCATCCAGCCTCATTGCATATAGGAAATGCACTTGTTTTGATAACACTGGCTCATTCGTGTCCTCAATTGACGTTTTTTTTTATACAGTTCTTGTTCTTGTTGCAGTTCAGTTCTTGTTACAGGGATGGCATACCAAGTCATTTTCATTCAGGATTACATTTTTATTGCTTACTTATGCTATGAGGTTAGTTTGGAATGGTATTAAAAATGTATAAAATATAATATTGTATAGTATTATATTGCAATAGTGATGTGTAACAAACATAATTTTTTTGATGATTTATCAATTTGACTAAATTAATTGTTTGATAAAGTTAGCCATTTCCATTTTAGCCAATTGCTTTAACATTTTAAAAAATAATTTAACATTTTATTTATTTATGCATTCTTTTTAACGATTTTTGTCTCATCCAGATATTCAGGACTAGCTTGGTTCTAAAATTAAGAATTAGTGAAAAATCAACATGGTTTGCCCCTTAATATGAATAATGGATAGGTTGTTTCCCCCTTTATTATTTATTATATATGTTTTATGTGTGTTTCTGCATGTATGTGGAGTTCAATGTTAATTATTCTTATACATACCCCAGCCAACCCTGAAATTAAAGTGCCAAACACCCCCACTCTTTACGTAAATGATGTCAAGCCAGGCGTTGTAATAAATTACAGGCTTCAGAATCTTCTATTCAAACTATTCGAATTATAACTCCATGATTTAATTGATGTATTTTAAAATGTATTTCACTAAAATATTTTTTAGCTGGTTAACTTTTGTTTTGACAGAAAAAAAAAACACGACAGGTTTTGACCTTTTAATGTCCTGATAATACCAACGTTTTTAGGGTAACATTTTAATATAAGGTCCCGTTATAGTTAACATTAGTTAATGCATTAACTAACAATGAGAAATATATCTTCGTTAGTTATCTCAGGTCCATTAAATATTAACAGATATACTTTTGATTTTAAGGTATTAATAAATGTTGAAATTAACATTAAGATTAATAGATGCTAGAAATATTTGTCTTTGTTAGTTCATGTTAACTATCTAATTTTGGATAAAGAGGGCAAACACAACTTTGTTACACCCTATGACCCACAAAACAAGCATGTACCAACCAACACTGGTTTCATCATGTTGTTCATATTACTCAGAACTTACTCATAAAATTACACTGTAACATGAACACTGTAATGTGAAGCGTGGCCCAGGCTATTTCCTTTGAAGTTTTTTAGATTCACAGACTTGTAGAAGTAGGTTATGTAGTGTGTGCCAACTGCCATATATTCTCATAACTCTCTTCCTCCAAGGCTAACGCTGTTAATCAAAGCGCAGAGGCTACAATCTGTTTCGGTTCTTGCATCTTCTCAGTATGTGGGGCATGGGCCAGTTGCAGTAGTAAATAACCTGTGTGATGAATGGATGAGTCTGGTCAGGAGAAATATGCTGACCATCATCTCTTTTTTCTTATCGGCACAGTGATAAACTCACCTCTCTGAAATATGTCAAAACGGCAACCTTAATGATCACCAGTTGTGAATTGCGAATGTCTTTGATAGATTTAAATCCTTTGCAAGTCATAATTGTTCTATTATTACACGCATATAGAGGCAAGGTCTTTATCTAAAGAATCTGTGCAGATGACATAATTTCCTGGAGGTAATATTCATGTATACAAGATGGTGTGTTGCTATACACTACCATTTGGGGTCAGCAAGATTTTTGTTTTACTTCTATTCAGCAAGGATTCTGTTCTTCTGAACTTTGTATTCATCAAAAAAGCCTGATAAAAAAAAATATATATATATATCATTGTTTCCACAAACAACTGTTTTCAACATAGATAATAATAATAAGAAATGCCTCTTTAGCAGCAGCTCAGAATATTAGAATAATTTCTGAAGCATTATATGACACTGAAGACTGGAGTAATGATGCTGAAAATTTTGCATTCACAGGTATAAATTACATTATAAAATATATTCAATTAGAAAGCAGTTAAATTTGTAATGGGTTTACAGTATTTTTGATCAAATAAGTGAAGCCTTCATGAGTATAAAATAACTTACTGACCCCAAATGTTTGAATGGTGTATATAGTGTGTTCGTATAAGTTGTAATCGAAATGATTAAACACTCATTGCAAATCAGGTTTATTGGCAAAATTTACAGACTTTTAACTGTTTGCAATGAACAAATCAAACAAAAGAAATTGGAATAGCTCTTTCAAGTGATATTTCAAGTGGTTTCGCCAAATTCAACTGAAATTGCAACTTTTAATGACTTCTGCAGTCTGAATAGAATCCCTCACAACAGCACAAATCTGCAAAACAGGAGTTGTCTCAAGCACACCTGATACAACTAATCAAGGGCTTCATTAGTTGCACCAGATGTGCTTGAGCTTGAACACATGAAATATCTGAACTGGCTAGGTTTGTTGAGTTTCACGTTTGACTGCATGTTAGAAATATGGCTAAGTCAAAAGAATGGTCCAAAAAGTTAAGAGAAGATATCACTGCCCTTCACAAACAAGGAACAGGATACAATAAGATAGCGAAGGTACTAAATGTTCCTAGAGACACTGTTGGAAGCATAGATCGCAAGTTCAAAGTTAAAGGAACAGTGGTTACATTACCTGGACAGGGCAGAAAAAGAAAGCTATCAACGGCTGCAACCAGATTTCTGTTGCAAAAGACCTGCAGAAAGACTTGGTGGTCTTTGAAGTATCTAGATAGAAATATCAGGAAATCCTAGCAGAAAACGTCATGAGGAAGCTGAAGGACCTTCCATGAGGACCTTCCAACAGGACAATGATCCCAATCATACCTCAAATTACACCAAGGCTTGGTTGCAGAAGAAGTTCTGGAAGATTCTACTGTGGCCATCACAGTCACCTGACTTGAACCCCATAGAAAATCTCTGGTGGGATTTGAAGGTGGTTGCAGCACGCAAACCCAAGAATATCACTGAACTGCAGGCCATTGCTCATTAACGAATGGGCTAAGATTCCTCAGAAACACTGCCAGAAGCTGGTGTCTGGTTATACATCTCATTTGCAGGAGGTCATAACAACAAAAGGGTGTTCTACTAAGTACAAAAGATGCTTGCTGTGAAGGGGTTGAATAATTTTGAGACTGCAGAAGGCATTAAAAGTTGCATTAAAAGTTGCAACTTCAGAATTGCTTCAATGCATTGAGGGGTGTGGTCCTGGTCAAGACAATCTCCTGATCTCCAAACTGAATGTCAGAATGGGAAAGAAAGGGGATTTAAGCAATTTTGAGCGTGGCATGGTTGTTGGTGCCAGAGGGGCCGGTCTGAGTATTTCACAATCTGCTCAGTTACTGGGATTTTCATGCACAACCATTTCTAGGGTTTACAAAGAATGGTGTGAAAAGGGAAAAACGGCAGTCCTGTGGGCGAAAA